CCGCGCCGGCCGCCGCGGCTGCCCTCGCCGCGCCCCCGCGCCCCGGCCGCCGCCCCCGCCCCCGCGCCCCGCGCGCCCCGGCCCGGGGAGGGGCTCCCACGACCCCGCGCTTGGCGGGGGGCGCCAGGGACTCCCGGGTCCGCTGCCCCGCGCCGTCTCGCCCTCCTCCCTCTTTCTTCGGGCAGCCCCCCCCCACTTCAGCCTCCCCCACTCTTGCCGCCTCCATATCCTCAAGCTCCGGTGGCACTGGGGGGGCTTCTCGGATCGGCAGGATGTACCCCCAGGGAAGGCACCCGGTGAGTGGGGGGCTGCGGGGAGGGGGCCCCCCGGGGTCCGGGAACTCAGACCCTGACGCCCCCCCTCTCCAATCCCCCCCCAGACCCCGCTCCAGTCCGGCCAGCCCTTCAAGTTCTCGATCTTGGAGATCTGCGACCGCATCAAAGAAGAATTCCAGTTTCTCCAGGCTCAGTACCACAGGTGAGGGGGCGCCCCGGGGCCCGCGGGAGTTCACCTGGGCGCCGGGCCTCCGGGGAGGGGGCGCGGGAAAGGCCTCCAGGTGGAAGCGCAGGTGCAGAGGGGTTTGGGGACAGTCAGAGCTGGGGCACGGGGAGCCCGGGAAGGGGCGGGGAGGGACCGGGACGGGAGGTGGGGGGATGGGGAGATGAGCCCCTCACTTTGGAAGCCGGCCCACGCGCGGCGGGTGGCAGCCCCTTGCCCTCCCTCTCCTTCCCAGCCTCAAGCTAGAATGTGAGAAGCTGGCCAGCGAGAAGACGGAAATGCAGAGACATTATGTGATGGTGAGGGCACTCAGGGTGCCAGGAGCCGGGAGACGCGGGGGAGACGCGGGCAGGGCTTGGAGTGGCGGTGGACTCAGGGGGAGGTCCCGGCCCCACTCCCAGCCTCGTCTTCCCTGTCTGTCGGTTGGGCTGATTGGGATTTCACGCTCGCTCTCTCGGAGGGCCCCCCCAGCCCTGAGAACAGTGAGGCAGGGAGGACCCCTCGCCTGATTGGGCATCTGTGCGGCCAGGGCCTGTGGTCACTTCTCCCTGCCCCACCTCTCTGGGGAGGGTAGAGGGGGCCCTTCCAGGCAGAGCCCCTGCTTCCTCCTCTGGGACCCCATGGAGCTGGGGGGCTCTGCGGTCCTGCTGTGATCTCTGCAGCCTGGGGGGCTCTTGGAAGACCCTGGCATCGCCTGTCTCCAGGAGGACGCCCATTTCCACCGCAGACGTTCTCACTTGGTTTCTCCTTTGCAGTATTATGAGATGTCTTATGGACTCAACATTGAAATGCATAAGCAGGTAACCGGGTTGGGGTTAGGTGTGTTCAGGAGGGAGGGTGGGGGGTCTGGAAGCCACAGGAGGGACCCAGTGTGGGCAGCGGGGCCAGAGCACACCTAGGGAACAGGGGTCTCATCCCGAAATCCCTGCAGAGGTCGCAGAGGGCCCATCTGGGGCCAGGAGGACAGATTTCAGCCTCCTGAGAGGAAAATGAGTCTCAACCTCTGAAGACAATGTCTCTCAGTTGGAGCCGTCCAGCAGAGAGGCAGGCAGCGGGCAGGGGCCACCAGGCATCCCCATCAAGGAGGGCACGTGGCAGAGGCAGGGCAGCCAGGCCAGGGAGGCTGTGGAGATGATTTCTGTCCCAGAAGGGGGCTGGATGGCCACTCTTAGAGGTCCTTTTCAGCCCAGAGAGTCTGAAGTTTTGAGATGGACCCCAGGTTCTGTTGCTGTTTTGAAGCTTCTGAGATTGATCTCCGTGGGATTGGCTGGAAGGTTCCGAGATTGTTCTCCAGGCCATGAATTTGATGCTGTGGTTTAGAGTGTGACCTCATTATTCCAAGAGAGACCTCAAAACTCTGTGGCTGTCTTCACGGCTTTGAAATTGACCCCAGTGCCATGAGGTTCTGAACCTCTTCCTAAGCTTCTTGGTGTGATCCATGGTTCTGAGATTGACCTTAAGATTCAGAGATAGAACTCAAGTTTCTGAGATTGACTTCAGATTTCTGAGATTGACCTCATGGTTCTGGCATCAAGGTCCTGAGATAGACCTCAAGGTCCTGAGATTGACCTCAGAGTTGTGAGATAGATCTCAAGATTCTGACATTGACCTCAAGGTTTTGAGATTGACTTCAAATTTCTGAGATTAATCTCAGGGTTCTGAGAGTGACCTCAAGGTCCTCAGACCTCAGGGTTCTGAGATTGACTGCAAGGTTCTGAGAGTGACCTGAAGGTCCTGAGTTAGATCTCCAGGTTCTGAGATTGACCTCAGGGTTCTGAAGTTGACTTCACATTTCTGAAATTGACCTCGGGGTTCTGAGATAGACCTCAAGGGTCTGAGATTGTCCTATCTATGTGCAGATGTGTGTTAAAAGGTCCTGAGGCTGTTCCTGAACTTACGATCCCCAGGTTCCAAGATAGACCCAAAGATTCTAAAATTGACTTCAGTGGTCCATTCTTCATCCTGAGATCCTGAGACTGATCAGTGGTTTCTAAAGGGATGAGAGGGGTCCCAAGCTTCTGAGATTTGTGGGCTCCTAGATTCTATCAGGATATTAGATTCAATGAGTAGAGCTTTGTATTGGGACTTGCTGGTGGCTGGGAAGGGGAAGGGGGTGGGCTGGGAGTGTGGGGACCCTGGGGGTACCCACCCTGGCATGCTTTCCTGAGTCTGGGGGGGCTCTGGTCGGTTCTGATGTGCGCGGGAGGGGGCCTGTCTGCTGAAGCATGGCGTGGTCCCATGGGTACTTGAAACAGACCCTCTTATGGGGTGCCAGACACCCTGGGATCCCGGTTCCACTCTCCTGGTGGGAAGAGGAGACAGACCCCGCCAGGCACACAGCACACCTGTAACTCAGGCAGAGGCAAAGCGCTAGGCCTTTGTATACCCGCCCCTTCCCCACCCACACGCTCTCTCCCCTGCTTAGTCTCTCTGGGGCACCTGGGCCCAGAGGCTCTCCAGATGAAACCCTTCCAGGTGGAGCGCCGAGATCTCCACGTGGAGGCATCCCCAGCGGGCAGATCAGCCCGGGGAAGCGGATGAGGCTTCCGGAGAGGGGCCTTGCCTGGGAGAGGCGTGGGGCCAGCCAGCGCTGGAATCTGGGACTCCAGGCGGAGACCCCTTCCCTTTGTTTCTGCTGACCCCAGAGCCTCTGAGTGTCCGTGTCTGAGGGGGGTGTCTGTGCGGCCGCCTCCTGCAAATCCCTGGTGGTTGTGCGTCGGGCAGGTGTGCATCTGTGACTCGTAGGACCTCACTCAGCCTCAGCCCGGGTCTTCCCGGCTCCAGGCCACCCCGGGCCTCGCTCAGCTGAGCAAACAGCCTGGCGGGGCTCTGAATCCGGCCTCGGCCCATGCCTAGCTGGCCCGAGTTCCCTCCGTGCACCTGCGGACGCCGCCTCCCTAACCCTTGAGCCTCGAGCCGGGTTGCCAGTGTCCACCCCGCTCCAAGCTTCCTCTCCTTCCTTCCTGCCAGGCGGAGATTGTGAAGCGCCTGAGTGGCATCTGCGCTCAGATTATCCCCTTCCTGACCCAGGAGGTGAGCGGGCCTGGGGGTGGGGGCAGGAGGGGAAGGAGGCTGGAAGAAGATGGGAGGGGGTCGGTCTGGGAGAGGACGCCCCAGGCGCTGATTGTGCAGTGATCTGCAGCCCAGATAGAGACTGTTTCTCACTGCAGTAGTCCTCAGCCCTGAGGCCGGACACCCCGAGGGAGGTGTTGGCCGAGGGTGAGAACTGAGAGCTTTTTTCCTCTTTGATTGGAAGCTAGGCGGAGAGCTGACCCCGTGAAGCCCTGCGGGTTGGCTGCCCGGGTCTGAATCCTGGCTGTGTGGCCTCTGGCGGGACACCTGCTTGCCTGGTTTTCGTTGTTGTTTTATTTTGAGACAGAGCCTCAGTCTGTCACCTAGGCTTGAGTGCAGTGGGGCGATCTTGGCTCACTGCAAGCTCCACCTCCTGAGTTCTAACAATTCTCCTGCCTCAGCCTCCGGAGTAGCTGGGACCACAGGTGTGCGCCACCGTGCCCAGCTAATTTTTGTATTTTTAGTAGAGATAGGGTTTCACCATGTTGGCCAGGATGGTCTTGAACTCCTGACCTCAGGTGATCCACCCGCCTCGGCCTCCCAAAGTGCTGGGAATACAGGTGTGAGCCACTGGACCTGGCTTGTTTTTTATTTTTTATTTTTTTTTGTTGTTTTGAGACCAAGTCTCGCGCTGTAACGCAGCCTGGAGTGCAGTGGTGAGATCCTGGCTCACTGCAACATCCGCCTCCTGAGTTCCAGCAATTCTGCCTCAGCCTCCCGAGTAGCTGGGATTACAGGCACGCACCACCACGCCCGGTTAACTTTGTATTTTTGTTTTTTAAAGATGGGATTTCACCATGATAGCCAGGCTGGTCTTGACCTCCTGACCTCAGGTGATCCACCCACCTTGGCCTACCAGAGTGCTAGGATTACAAGCATGAGCCACCACGCCCGGCCAACTTTGTATTTTTAGTAGAGACAGGGTTTCACCATAATGGCCAGATGGGTCTCGAACTCCTGACCTCAGGTGATCCACCTGCCTTGGCATTCCAAAGTGTTGGAATTACAGGTGTGAGCCACACGCCTGGCCAATTTCTTTTTTTTTTTTTTTTTTTTTTTTGTAGCTTAGGTGTGCAGTTGAGATGAGCTCATACATGCAGGGTGCTGAAGATGATGCACGTGCTCAGTCAGCACCCGATGGACGTGAACCCTGCCGTCCTGCTAGGAGAAATCACACAGGGACAAACACTGGGTGATCCACTCCCAGGAGGTCCCGGGGTCAGGCTCACTGAGACAGAAAGTACAGTGGAGGCTGCCAGGGGCTGGGGAGGGGACAGGGAGTGAGTGTTTCTTGGAGAGGGAAATTCTGTTGGGGAAGATGGGAAGGTTCCGGAGATGATGCTGGTGAGGGCTGCACAACCGTGTGTGTGTGTGTGTGTGTGTGTGCGTGCGCGTGCGCACTTGCTTAATGCTGCTGAACTGTGCACTTAAAAACGGTTAAAATGGCCTGTAATCTGCAGCACTTTGGGAGGCTGAGGTGGGTGGATCACCAGAGATCAGGAATTCGAGTCCAGCCTGTCAAATATGGGGAGACCCTATGTCGACTAAAATTTTAAAAAAAAATTTGCCAGGCATGGTGGTGTTTGCCTATAGCCCCAGCCAATGGGGAGGCTGAGGCAGGAGAATTGCTTGAATTGAGCGCTGGGGAAGAGGTTGCACTGAGCCGAGATTCGAACCATTGTACTCCAGCCTGCGTGGCAGAGCAAGACTCCATCTAAAAAAAAAAAAAAAAGTTTAGGTAAAAGGACTGTTGAAAGGGATGAGTAAAGGCACACATTTTCAGAAATTAGCAAACTGCAGCTCTAGGGCCAACTCTGGCCCTCCAATTGTTATTGTAAATAAAGCTTTATTGGCACACAGCCACGCCCACTCATGTACATACCATTTCCAGCAGCTTTTCCACTGCAGTAACAGAGCTTGGTAGTTGCAACAGAGACCTCTGACCTGAAGAAGGAAAACATTTTCACTCTCTGGCCCTTTCTAGAAAGTCTTCCACCCCGTTCTACACACACCCACACACAGGTGCACCACCCCAGGAGCTCTGTATCAGCATCCTGATACCTCCTTGGTGGGGGAAGCCCAAATGCCTGTCCTCAGGAGTGCATATACACACGCTGCCTCGCAGTTCCTACAGTGGGGTGGCACTGTTCCGCTGTCCCACACCGGAGCCGCCAGCCCGTGTGGTTGTTTTCACTTAGGTTAACTAGTCATATTTAAATCTGTTAACTTGTTTTTTGCCTTTAAACAGAGGGAGGGACGCAGACACACACACACACACACACACACACACACACACACACACACACACA